CGGTGACGTCACCGGACTCTTCCCTTCATTAGCTGTCACTGGACTCCTCCCCCCTTCCCTTTGTTAGCCGACGGAGCCACATGGGGAAGGGGGAGGAGTCCAGTGACGTCGATGTCCGTGACGTCACCGGATCTCCGACTGGACTCCCGGAAGCCGGAGGAGAGGTGAGTGTTTTCATTAGCGATCAAAATAATTTTAGTTGATCAAAAAGTTTAACGATTAATCAAGAAATTAATTGTTAATTCCCGCAGCCCTAGAAAATACCTTATTGCAGATATTTAAAACACTGATTTGGCCCTGGAAGAGTATACAAGACCTATTCCTGGTGATGGGAAGGGGGTTTAACACCGCGGATGTCAACTGGTTAAAGAAGAACAAATGAACCCTTGCAGTGGGGCTATCCCCACACTGCAAGGGTTAAGTGCTTGTTTTGGGCTAGGGTCTAAAATAAAAGATATACTCACCCGATTCTCTGACCCGCCTAGGTGCTAGGCAGCTCCCCACAGCCTCTCTCCCCCCTCCGCTCTGGCAATCTAATGACCTGTAAGTCATCACGTCCAATAGAGTTTATTAGATGTGAGGAAGCCGAAGGACATTCCACAGCTGAATCGGAGGGGAAGAGAGGCTGCGGGGACCAGTCTAGCAGCCAGCCAGGTCCAAGGCTCTGGTGAGTATATCTATATTATTTTAGACCCTAGACCAAAATGAGCATAAAATGGGCTGAAAATCTCGGCTTATACTCGAGTATATACGGTAACACTTACAGTGTGGGGATAGCCCCACTGCAAGGGTTCATTTGTCATTTGGCCAGAGTTCTTCTTTACGGTCAAAGTGATGTGTTTAAAAAATAAAGTATTGTTATTTTATTTAGGGATGTCCCGATACCACTTTTTCAAGACCAAGTACAAGTACTGTCCCTCATGTACTTGCCGATACCAATTACTAGGGATGCACAGATACTTTGTTGAGTACCAGTGCAGATACTTGGCATTTTCATGAGAACTACAAGGGTTGCAGCGGTTGCAGCTGGGGCCTAGCTCTGGCACTCCATCACTGTCCTGAAATCATTAGTCTGTATTGTTTTAGAAAAACTTTCACAAGACAATAAACAAAAATTTATCAGTACTCGTACTTGCAAGTACTCGGCAAGTACCAGTACTCGTACTCGCAAAACTGGTATCTGTGCATCCCTTTATTTATATTTATAAAAACAAAATCGTACATTAAAACAGAGATGTACAAATCCCAGGAGCTCCTTGTGCTCCTTACAAAAGACAGCTGCCTCCTAATGTTGTAATTTTTCTCTAGTGTAGTCTTGGAGCTCAAAAGTATCGGTACATGTATTCGTACTTGTACCGAGTACTGTCCTTGGTATCTGTGCAACCCTACCAATTACCGATACTTTTTCTTAAAGGGACATGTGAAATTTTTTCTAAAACAATACAAACTAATGATTTTAGGGCAGTTTCTCACCAGTGCTGCGTGCATTGGAGGTGACAGGTTCTCTTTAAGGTG